CCACTTTGTTTGTAACTCTGTATTGTCTGTATTGTGCTTGTGATATGTTGTAAAATGTTGTATGTCTGTTAATGTTTCCCTCCTTTTATCTTTAAAAGAAAAAAAAGAAAAGAAAAAAAATAAGTTTTCTTTTTAGGAGGTAAAAATGTTCAAAAATTACATAATGGTTATGGTCATATAACTTTATGAAAATACTAAATATTACTGAATTATATATTTCAAGTGGGTAAACTGTAAAGTATGCACTTGTTACCTCTTGTCTTTTTGATAATAGCCATCCTAACAGGTATAAGGTGAAATCTCACTGTGGTTCATTCTCACTTTCAATTCCCTGATGATTAGTCATGTTAAACACCTCTTCAGTACCTGGGAGCCATTTTTAAATCTACTTTGGAAAAATATTCAAGTCCTTTGACCTTTCTAAATCATATTTTTGTTTTATTTGTTATTGAGTTGTATGAATTCCTTATATGTAGGAATGTTGATTGTAACATCATTTCTAAATGCAAGATCCTGAAATGAATCTGGATGTCCATCATTTGAAGAGGAGGTAGTCACCCCATAGCAGTTATGATACATATATACTACAGGATAGTATACATTTACTAAAAAGAATGAATTAGATCTGTATGCACTAACCTAATATTCATGGTATAATCTTTAAGGGGAAAATGTCAGTTGCAGAATAGAGGATGTGTGTGATTCTACCTTTGTAAAGAAATGCATATATGTTGTTTACTGTCTTTCTCTTCACATTGGGATATACATTTGATGGGAAGGTTGCCTATTTTATTCAACACTATGCTGAAATCTGTGTCTACAACAATATCTGACACGTAGTAGGTGCTCACATATGAATTCATAGCTGTCTATTTTTGTAGGAGGAAAAAGAGGGTGGAAGGGGCCACTCTTGGCTGTTAGGTTTAGTTACTTCTGAAGAAAAGGATTATTGGAAGGGGAGAAAAGATAATTAATACTTTCTTCATACTTCTTTTTTTACTTATTAACAATAAACATAAGGTTTTATAAAGTAAAAAAGTAAAAAATATATAATGTTACAGGGGAAAAAGGAAGATAAGCTATGAATGTCATCATACGGAGAGTCACTCAACATTTTAGTCACATACAGTCCCTGGTAGAGAATAGAAGAGACAAAACCAGATGGAGCTGTTTGCAGGACAGAGAAGGCTGTGAGGTAGGGGACTGAGTAGGTGTCAGGACCTTCTCTACATTCCATTACATTCATAGGTACTAACTTCTGTGTCCCTGTAAAAAGAAGTATGAATTGAAAATTATTCTCTTTGGTACCAAATATTAGTTCATTCACCACTTGGTGTCTGGAACTCTGCATTTTTTTATATGAGTGAAAAATTCTCAAGTGGCTCCCTTTGCTCAAGTGGCTGCTGTTAGTTCCTTGGGACTGGCTCTACTTAGTTACCAGTGCCAGTGCTTGGAATTCTCAGAATACACACACCTTTGGTGAAGAGGCTGCAAGCATGTTGAATTAGTTACTTGGTACTGGAAAAATTCTGGGGCCATGCCAAAACCCAGTCTGATGTAAGCTCCTCGATTGCTGCCTTCTTCATAATAATTAGAAGCAGAAAATACAGTAATAACCTGATTAAAGAAAAAGACTGTCAGGTTCATAAAGTTAGTTCTCAAAAGGTCATACAATAAGTTCATAAATGGCTCAATTCTTAAAAAGCAAAAATCAAACAAAGGTCTTACTCCTGGTAAATTATACAAGCCTTATGATTTCTTAAGATTCCATTGGAGGAAAACAAAACAAATGTTTCTACTCAGTGTCTCCAAGACTACTAACTCCTAGCCACCTATCCAGTATCCCCAGTGTGTGGCCCTGGGCTCCTATAAACAATTTTAATGTGAGATCTTTGACTCCTCCATAATATTTGCTTTTGAAAATTCTACTTTTCCAAGGGATAAATCCTCCATTTTCTTACCTTGTAATATTTGAGTATTCAGAATAAAACTTATCTAGTATCTCAGTCTTTTTATTTGAGCTAAGTGATTTGGAGGGTTCAGGGCTCCACAAAACCAGTGCTTTAAGGGAAGAGAAATAGGGACTGGAACAAAGGTGCATGACCACTATCTTGGGAAGGACTGAGCTTTGGGGCCATAGTTGAATATGGAAGGACAATACTTGTTTGCGACAAGGAATCTAGCTTAGGCTCAGTTCTGTCCTAATGAACATGTCACTTCAGACAAGCCACTGCTATTTTCTGTCTATTATCTCATTACAGATAAATCCTAATACTTGCCTTATTCATCTTGCCATGTTAGTATAAACCTAAAACAAATAAAGTTAATAAAAGCAAAGAATCACCATAGAAATGCCACAAAATTTGCCATTCATTATTTACTGTTGTTGACTACAGAAAAAGAGACCTCCTAGGACAACTAGGAACAGGAATGGGTTCCCCAGTCTTCACCTCTTCTAGCTTTATCAACATCACCGAAGGGGCACAACACACTCCTTTTTAGTGGTGGTAGCTAAACTGACCACAGCAAGCGGCTCGCTGGGGATCGCCTGCTCAACCAAATGAAGGAAAGAGAGGTTTTGTTTGATTGATTTTCTTTTCTGCCCTGCACAGGGAGTGTGCAAAAAAGTGGAAGAGAGCAAACTGGATTTACTGCTGCCTTTTATATACTTTGTGATGGAAAGCACATCCGCAATGCCACTGTACCGGTGAGTTGCCTTACAACTAGTAAAAGATGTAGTGCCTTGTGTCAGAATTTCTGTTCTTGGAGTTAGTGAAGAGCAGGGAAATAAACCAAATATCCCTTAGGGTGTGGAACACTGAGGCCCCTTCAGACAACCTAGTTGGATCCTCCAGTCTCTGGTTTCTGTTTGATGCTAGGGAAGATGTCTTCCCATAGGCTTCAGGTCAGACACACTTTGTGAAGAGACCATGTTTGAAGGAAGGGTGTCATGAGAATGTCACCAACAGTATTAGCTTACCTTTCCATCATGGCAGATTTCATAGCCTTCAGGCCTACATTCATGAGATCTAATGATCTTCTTCAAGTGGTATTTATTAAGCATAGTGGTAGTAATGTCTGGTCCAAAATAGCAGCCCCCTCCTCGGCCTGTGTTTGGAAAACAGCCTTTCGTGCCTCTGGGGTCACTCCAAAGAATGTCAACAATCTAGGAACAACAATTCAGATTAGGCTGCTACTTACCAGTGAGAATGTATCTCTTTAGAGTCCTGCTTACTTGCCTGAAATATTAATCCAAGGTATCCCAAAGGCTGTTTCTTATTCTTCCCCCAAATTGCTTCACACTCATCCCTCCAAGCATCGTTTCCAGAATATCTTAATGCTCACTCTCAGCCCAATCCTTTTCTGCAGTCCCGATAACCCAGTTAGCAATAACTATAACCAAGGTAGCAATACGTAGTAACTGTTAAAGAAACCGCCTTTGCCTTTAAAAGTCTCATTATAGCTGTTTCACAACTTTTGAGTCTATGAAGTTCTTTGTTATGTTCAGAGGAGAAAGCAGTTCCTCTTAAGGAACACAAAGTGTCCTTAGCATGTCCAAGGAAATTAGGTAGATGTCCCCACCGTGGTGTGGACTCATGTTTTTGTCCTGTTGAGCACACAGCCTGAGGAAGCTCTCACTCTTTCCCATCACAAACAGAGAACACTGTCCATGTGAAGACATCTCTGCCTCTCCTTCATTTGCCCCCTTCATAAGGACATTCTCAGTTTCCGCAACATATTTACCCAGTGACTGGATTCTATCAGCTCTTCTCCTAAATCCATACTATGAAAGTAGTATAAACATTTCCTTCTGAGGCTGGAAGAGGCAAAGGCAGGTCACATAACATCCAGGACTGGAGACCTAACTTTCCAAGAATATTTTTCATAGAAAATTGGAGGCTCTTTCTTAATGGTTCTGATCTATGTATGTTCCTTCATAGAAATTTCTCCTATACAACTTCAAAGAACAGTGACAAAAACTATGTTTGTCACTAAAAATAGTGAGAACCTTGAGAAAATCCTCTGGGTCTCACTCTTGAAATCTTTCAAATCAGGCATTTTGGCCAGTTGAGTTATAAAGTACCTCACAGTCCTAACAGCCTATGATTCTAAAAGTCATTATTTAACTTTTATTATTTGTGCTGAAGACGGAATCCAGGGCCTCACGCATGCTAAGCAATTGCTCTACCACTCATCTATACCCCAGCCATTCTACTTCCACATGTTTCCTTTGAGAGCATGAAAAAGAACGCATTTGAAGTTGTGCAGTAATTCCAGTGAGTCCAAATCAGGTCTTGAAGATGAGAACCATTACGGCTGCTTCACTAAACCTAACTGTATCCCCACTTACATGTCTGATATTGAAGGGGAGCTAACAGTGAGCTGAAGAGAACAGAACCGGCAAGAGAATCACCCTGCGATGATCAGCACCTAGTCAGAACTGGAGAAACCCTGCACCAAGAATGGACAAGACACTTGCAGAGCTCAGGAGTTTTCTCTCTCCTTGCTGAATTTCAACACTGGCACAACAATATCTTCCAAATAAATTCAGTACAATCTCTTTACTTTTCTAGTGTTTATCATAAAAAGAACACTTGTACTTTGTGTTTGGGGGATTTGACTTGACCTGTGGTGTAATGAAGAAGGAAACATGGATCAAAAGGAGCTGTGTTTTATTAAGAAGGGATTAAGTTTTCAATTCCTACATTGGATATAAATCATTTAGAGCCAAAATTACCCCTGGAAAATCCTTTAAATTACCTTAAGGTATACTATACATGATTTCATGTATACAACCCTATAGAATAATATGGGTATGTAAATGTTTTATGTACATGATAATGGACATTATATAATAAAGAATATACATGAAAATAAAAACTCACAGTATTTTCCTCTTTGCCATATGTAATAGTTGAAATTTACGTAAATTAAAAGTACACATGATGGAACTCTGTAGAACTAGAATAAGCACTGTCCAAGAGTTACTTCTTTAAGTAATCATCTAAATCATCCTGGGCAAATCACTTTACCTATTAGGGCTTAGTTGTTACTGATAAAATCAGGGAGATACTGTATATCTAATTCTCATTTTTCATTGATCCAAAGTCATGAGGGATAACAGCTTTTAAGAAGTGAGCTTCTTCAGAATCCGTTCCATGAGTTCTGCATCTCTTTCTTTTGTGTGAAAATTATTCACTTGTCTAGATTTACTCAGATTGTGACTGTAACATAGATTTAATTCTAGAACTCACAAAAGAAGTTCTATAAAGGACTCTTCTCTGGAAACACAAATTTTCCATAGACACCATCCTTTTCTCTCAACAACAACCTATGCTCTGAAATACAGGAGTCTGGGTGTTAACTGCACAGAAGATTAAGTATTTGTGACATTCCTTCCTAAAAATTTTCAAACCAACAAATGGTAAAGTTTTACTGAGCTGCAGTTTTATATGACCATATTGATCTCCTCAGTCTTCTACCCCCAGCATGACAATAAAATTTTCAAAAATAAATTTCCTTACTCTAAAAATAAATCTACCTTGTCTAGTGAAACTCTGTATAATCTCTTACCTTTTATCTAATAATTTTTTCATCCTCTTTAACAGTTTGAATAATCTTCCATTCCTATATCTCGTAATCTGAACAATGTAGTTGAAGATAACAATATGTAATATAACAACCACTGTTAATTCTTATCATTTTGTCTTGAAACCCTGTATCATTTTTAATGTTCTTGCTTTGTTTTGTTTATGTTTGTGATGTTGGCATGCTACTATTTTTCTTTTTTTCCTCATTTACTACTCTCTTTAAAATAAAAGAAAATCTCAAACACAATCAGATTCAACCTCACACAACTAGGAGGGCTACAATCAAAATAACAGAGTTGGGAATAGAGCTCAGGGTAGAGCACAGTGCTTAGCACATGGGAGGTCCTAGGTTCAACAGCTCAATCCCAAGCCCTCCCAAAGGACCTATAATAACGACCTCATGCAAGGAAGTAGATAAGTTGGATCCCTTATCATACTGTTGGTGGGAATGTAAAATGGTATGGCCACTTGGAAAAACAGTTTGGAATTTTCTCAAAATGCTTAACTTTAGAGTTACTTTATCATCCAGAAATTCCATTCCTAAGTATACATTCAAAATAAATGAAAAGATATGTACACACAAAAACTTGTATATAGTAGTATTATTCATAATAGAAAAATACAGGAACAAAACAACCTAAAAGTCCATCAACTGATGAATGAATAAACATAATATGGTCTATCTACACAATAGAATACTATTCAGCATGAAAAAGAAATACAGCCATACATATTGTATGTGTCTATTTCAATATGTTCAGAATAGGCAAATCTATAAAGATAGCATATGAGCAGCTGCCTAAGGATGGTGGGGGCAAGGGTGGGGAGGATGGAGAATGACTGCTAATAGGTACAAGGCTCCTTTTTGGAATGGTAAAAACATTCAAAAATTAGATTCTGATGATACCTGTGAATATACCAAAAACTATTGAATTGTAGGCTTTAAATAGATGAGTTATACGGTACATGAATGATATCTCAATAATGGTGTGAAAAATACAGTAATGCATTCAGAGAAAATAGTATTGTCTGCTTAAAAAGGTAAGTCACTTTTTATCTATATATTGTAAAGGACAACATCGTCTATGCTGGTCTCGTTGCCACCCTGGTGAACACTTTGATTACCTACCTGTTCCCACTCATGCTTCGGTAACTGTTCAGAAGAGGAATCTTTTGATGTGATTATCCCTGACATGATGATTGCACCTGTTTTCTTTTTCTCTGGCTCGGTGGAATATCCTGTCATTGGAGGTAGCAACACCGACTTCATCTACAAAACAAATTTGTGTTTTAGACAAACCCACTGCTTGTTGTACTGCACGCAGACATTTCAGTACCAGCTAGAGTTCTGTCTATGATGTTGTGCATCAACCCAATGAAAAACACATGGTCTCCTTTTCCACTTCGCCCACCTCCTATGTCTTGTGGATCTTGTCGGCCTGTTAAATTCCGTTTGCACATTTTTTTCAACTAGAGATACTACCCGACAGGGAGCGAATTGCATCAGTGTTTCTAAGGGATCCCAGATGCACATATGTAGGTGCTAGGCATGTTCTAAAGTATTATTGCAAGGAGTGGAAGGAAAACTAGTTTTCTTTGAGCCTTTATCTATACCTGGGGCTTGGAAGAATGCACAAACATCCCTTAAAAAGGTAGCTGCTTTTCATTTTGTTGTGCTTTCTAGGAAAAATGAGAAAAAGTACATCTATATCTAGGAAAGTTCTTAAAATGGGGCATAGGTTTAAAACTTTGGAAGTCCTTCAACGTAAATACAGTATAGTTCTCAACCTGACCTGTCAACAACTGATTATGTTCTCTAATCTTAGTAGCAAAGCTTCTGTGTTTCTTTGGAAAATAAAATGCCTTTCTGATAGCATGTCAGCAACTATAAGCACCTCCCTGCATTCCCCTAAATAGGCTGACAGTGTAATTTTATACTTGTTTCTTTATAGCACGACTCTTTCAACAAAACAATGTTAAACTATACTTCTATCCGGTGGCTATAGTTCAATGATGGGAAATAATCTGTGGCAGGTGCCTAGTTTCTCCCATAAACTACAGCATGTATGAAATCTTGCCTTCATTTTTCAAAAATAAAATGAAATCTTATTCTGAAGTCTTGTCTCACTCAGCTGGTAAAAATTCAATCTCAGCTTTTATTAACTAGTTCATAGCCTACCTTCCCTGTCTTCCTTCAATAAATGTCCTCAGGTTTTAGGCAGAATAGAATATTCTAGGAGGACCCTCTGGACCTAGGTCCACACAGTTCTTTTGTGATTAGCTCATTGGGCAAGGCTACAAGAACCCTCAAATATGTATTGCTACATAGTTTTGAAGGTCACTTAGGATTGGGATATTCACCCCAGCTCCCCTAAGGCACCGCACCACCACTTTCTCTTGGGGGGGCCAGCTGACTAACTCTTTCCCACACCCTCTGTTATGGTTTGTGTCTGGATGTCCCCCCAAAGCCTCATGCAGTCATGGGACAGGCTTCTAGAGTTTTTGATTGATCCATGATCCAATGCTGGGATTATGGGTGTGAGTGCTACACCCGCCCTAGGGCAGGTAGTTTGCATACAGTATAAGAGAGGGAAAGAGGTTGCTTTCCACTGCTCCTCCCTTTTTGCTCTTGCTGCTTTGGCTGTTTTCCCACTGCCATGAACTGTTGTCCTCTGCCATGTGCCATTCTTTCTTAGAGCCAGCCAAGTACGGACTGAAACCTCCACAAACTGTGAGCCAAAGAAACCTTTCCTTCCTTAATTCTGGGTGTCAGATATTTTGGCTCAGCAACAAGAGAAAAGTAACCAAAACACCCTCTGCTAGGGAGTTTGAAGAATACTCAACCAGAATCTAAGTCTTATAGAATCTTCCTTTTCTACCCTTTTGTACTGACCTCTAATCTGCTCACCTTATAAAATGCCTTTAATGAACCCATAAGGGAAGTTGCTATCAGGTTTCCTCAAGACTAAAACTACCCTATTAACAAACATGCCATGATCACAGGTGTAAACCAGGAAGTATGGTCACTCCGACAGCTGGAAGGTTCTATGGGATGAGAAAGTGGGGGTTGATAAATTTTACTTAAAAATCTATTATTGTATCTCAGCTGATAGAATTCCAGAAAGTCAAACCTACTACTTTCATTATAGTTCAATTATGTTTACTTAATATAAGTGTGTGCTGTCAGCTCAAACTCAGTCTAGGTGGGGTAGAAGACACAAACAATACACAAGTCAAATTTCTATTTTTAAAACCACCATTATGAACAGGTGAGACAGTAATCCCTGATGAGTGGTGAAATTTGAGGCATCCTGGGAAAATTGCCAGCCCCAAAATTTCTTCCATGATCTGTTTTGGGGACTAAAAATCAGACCTCAGAAGAAAGTATCAGAAAAAGAAGGGAGATCTGGAAAAGAGGTATATGTTTGGTATTTGCTGTGTGCTACTTTTTTCATCTGAGTTATACATTTCATCTTTCCAACAATCCAATATTATAGGTATTTTTATTAGTGTATGTTTGTGATACATAGTAATTACATTCATTGTGAGACCTGGTACATGTACATACTGCATCTTAATCATTTTTATTTCCCCTTCCTCCTCTCCCACCCTTCCACTATCCCAACCCTTGCTCCCCTTCCCATTTCCACAAAGTCTACCTCCCTGTATCCTATCATCTCTCTTTTATTTTTCTCTTTAAATTATTTATATTTTGTGTTTCTCATATAAAAGAATCCACGAGGTATTTAATCTTCTATGTCTGGTTTATTTTACTTTGCATTATGGTCTCAAGGCATATCCATTTTCCTGTAAATGACTCAAATTTATCCTTCTTTATAGCTGAGTAGTGTTCCATAGAATATATGTGGTAGGTATTTTTGTCTTTAATTTATAAGTGAAGACAATGAGGCTTAGAAATTTTTAATAGCTTGCCCAATCACCCAGCCAGGAAGTGGCAGAGACAGTATATAAACCTAGCTACATCCGTTTGATATCAGATCTTACAGTCTTTACTATGTCAAAGTGGCTCTCAATTTAGGGTCTCTAAAGACCTGGCAAGGGACATTTCAGAGATATATTCTCACTATCTCAAAAAAAGTTTGATACAACTGGCTGCTCTGGCTAACCTCAGGAAAGTACAAGTTTTCAATGTGAGAAATTGGTAGTGGCTACCATGGCTAATTAGCACTACATCCCAGGGCGGGTGGTAGCTGAGTGTAGCATTCATGCCATGTGGTGCCAATATTTGACTGACAAAAACATCATGTTCCCTTGCTCTTGGCCAGAATAATATCCACTCACTGTATTAACAAAGACTATCTCATTTTGATCAAAACATCTTACTGGCATGACTATCACTGATATCATGAGAAAAGATGCCTTAAACTTAGGATGACCTCAAATTTTTATTGTAACTGGGATTGTTTTTAGAGTAGAAAGAGGAATTATTATCAATTACACCAGAACAACAGGCATAAACCAGGAAGTATGGGCATCAGTCAGTGAGGTGGAAGAGGGAGGGATATAAAATCATCACAGATTCAGGAAAGGGGAAACTTGTGAGAAACTTTTTTTTTTGGTCTTAGGACTGCCCTGCTTCCATCTTAAATCTCTCAGATGTTCAACAGATATCAGGCACTTACTACATCTAAGGCACTGGAGTTTTATCAGTGAAATGGATAAGCAAGGAAGTATAGTAAAAATCAGAACCATGATTCCTCATTTAGTTTTGTCAACTTGTAAATTGTAGTCTGGAGATTGTATTAAACTGAAATTAAGGGGCTGGGGATTTAGCTCAGAGGCAAAGCACCTGCCTGGCAAGCTCAAAGTCATGAGTTCGATTCCTGGTACCAGAAGAAAAATGAAAAACAAAATAAAACAAAACAAAACAAAACAAAAAATAAATAAATAAACTGAAATTAAAAGGATTAGACCACAGCAACAATATTATTCATGTGTAAAGAGGCTAAAAGTGTGACAGGGATCACATTTTTTTGTCTCTATCAGATTCAACTCCCACTTGGCCTCATCTGCCCAGATTGGTAGGAAGTTGACTGTCAGTCCTGAGGGACAATGGTTTAGATTTCCCACTAGGACCATATACCATCAGTCTGGCTCCATATGCTCAAATGGTACCTGCTTTGCCCCTAATCTGGGGCCTTTGGCTTGGCTCTGATAAAGAAAGACAAGTCTAGTTATTCTGTAAGATCCACCCAAAGATCCCTTCACGAAGTGTGGACTCCACAGGTGCCACATAACCACCTTCTCAGAAGTTCTGTACAAGTCCCTGTTCTGCTTCTTTTGTATGTCATATGCTTATTTAGGGTTAAAATATTTCAAAAACAATTATTCTGGTCCATTTGAAGTATAATAGAAAGAATAACAATTCAGAAATAAATTGCTATATGATTCTACTTATATGAAATAGCTAGAGTAGTCAAATTCATAGAAACAGAAAGGAGAATATTGGTTGCTGAGCTTGGAGAGAGGAGGAAAATGGGAAGTTATTGCTTATTGGTACAGTTTCAGTCTGGAAAGATAAAAACTTTTGTAAATGGATGATGATCACAGTAGTCATGGTTGCACAACAACATGAATGCACTTATTGTCACTGAACTATACACTAAAAATGGTTACACTTAAAAATTTTATGTTACATGTATTTTACCAAATAAGTTGAGATTTTAGTTCTTTAAAAATCAAACTTCTTCACTTTTAGAAACTTACAATATGCCAACACTTCATTTTTCCACTTTGAGCATGAGGTTTTTTTAAATTTCTACATATAGAAGTTACCCATTTCGTTCTTTATCAAGCAAGCATAATTTTTCTTAAAACTTACACTAGTCATTTCAGAGTTATAATACCCACTAAAATACAAATCAATTCAAAATGATAAATGAATAGACATACATATCACTGAATAAATCCCTGATACAGATTCAAGCAAATGCCACTTCTTACTTTGCTTCTTTCTATGCGGTGGAGTAAATTCAAGTCTGTGGATTCGGATATCCCACCATGTATGACCAGGATTTCATTGTCAATGATGGCGCCAATTGGGATCCAGGGGTAGACTTCTTCCAAGGTTTGCAAGATTTTTTTTCCATATATCTGTAAGTAAGAGCTTGAGTAAGTTTTGCTTTTCTGTTAAGTTCAGTTTATTGTACAGTCCTGATGCATGCAAAAAAAGCAATGGTTTTCATGCCACCCAAAGGGAATCAGCCAGGAGCTACTACCCAACTAACATATGTTATATGGTTTTTTATTCTGTTTTGTTTTTGCAGTACTAGGGGATTGAATCCAGGGGCACTCTACCACTGAGCTACCTCCACAGCCCTGTTTAACTTTAAGATGAAGTCTTGCTAAATTGCCCAAGCTGGGCTTGAATTTACAATCCTCCTGCCTCAGCCTCCCCAGTTGCTAAGATTACAGGTATATATCATCATGCTGAGCTTTTTATTCTGCAGTTTTGATACTTTGACTCTTGGGGCCTTGTCAATGTGGAGGAGAGATTGCCCCTCCCAATACTAATTACTAAGGACAGTAAATGACTTTTACAAGAACAGGCCACACCTCCAAGACTTCTTTTATTGGGCTCTCACACTCCAAGCCACTATCTCTTGCCCTAATCATCCCAGAACAAAGTAGCAGACAACTAGAGAAAACCCTTACACCCCAGAGCAGAGCACCAGTATTCCAACTCATCAATTTTGAACTTGATTTCACTGAGGCATCTTGCCCATTCCCTCACAAGAGGGCCAGCTCTTTGTGCCTTCTAATTGATTCTGGAACTTCCTTCCCTACGTGGTTCCCCCAGTGTGGCATGCAGTGTCTCCTGTTTCTAAGGAACTGTGAATAAAAACCTTCCTTCATGACAGTCACTTTTATGTCTGCCTGTTTCTCCATACCTGAAAAAACAAATCCTAAGCAGGTTCCTTTAAAGCAATGGAATATGTTCCTATCTATGCTGAAATGGACACCAAAGTTGCAGTAAAAAAGCTTGCTTTAGTACAGAAAGGAAATATAAGACCTTACCATAGCAATGGCTTCCTGCTGTGCTTCTATTTTATTAGCATGGATTCTTACTAGTTGAACGCATCACCTTTACTAAAGCAACAATTCAGGCTTTGTTGGGTCTTTTTGATATCTTATGTATCAACACCAGAGAATGGAATTTTTTTAAAAGTATGAATCTTACCTTATACTTATTCAAAATTTCTTTTGTGAAGCCATACCTGAAAAAAAAATGGGATTTAGACTATTAATTGTTAGTAACTCCTACTTACATGAGTCATGAAGGAAAGGGAGCCCTTAACATCACACTATCACCAGTTCCAGGAAATCAGGTAACTAGACTTCAGTTGCAACTGTTACTTACAGAAGTCTTTGCTAGGCATGGTGGGAAAGAACAAAAAAAGCCAGTGGAAGCCACCTTACTCCCAAAAAGCTCATAGTGTAATTGGAGATAGAAAACAGATTTTCATGAAATGATTATAAGATGCAATTTAAGAAAGATGTGGCAGGCACGGGTTGGATGAAGGCAGCAAATTTTTTAAGAGGTGTGCTGTGTGCTGTGTACTGGAAGAAGTGGTGTAGGAAAAGGCTTTTTCATTCAGATGGAATTTCTCGGTCGTCCTATATTTTATAGTAAATGATCACAAAAAAGAAAAGACTAAACAAAGACAAAGGAAAGCCTAAAGGTAGCAAGTTGGTTCCTTATGATTCCTCTGATATAGGTCATGAAATGAACAGTATTGAGGGTTTTAATCAAAAGTACTGAGGAATTTTAACACCTGACTAGCTAAGGGAGATTTAACAAGGTTTTTTACAATTACTTATCCTTGCTTTAGGATGATAATATGTATTCTTAATAAGCAACGCAGTAAAGTAGGAACACAGAACACCCCAAGTCATACAAATCACCTCAAATAGGTTTCCACAGTGTAACATTATGTTTTCTGTGATGAAGCGTTCTTGTGCTCACTAAAAGTATATGCGCTGTTAAATCAATTTGCACCTTGCAGCTTCTTTCTCTGAAACACTAAGTACAGTTGACTATACTATCCTTCTGGAAAATGTCTTCCTTTGGGTTTGATGACAGTAAATTCTTGGTTTTCCTCCTACCTTTCTGTCTGCTCTGAAGCTCCTTTGCACGTTCTCCTCTACTCAGCCTTAATTGTTGGAGCTCCTTCAGATTCTGTCCCTCTCCTCCCTTCACTTTCTCCCTTAGCAATCTCATCCCTGCCCATTTGGGGCTTCAGTTACTGTCTAGGAGCAATACCACAGAGGAATACTCCAGGGTACGCTTTGTTTTCTATCTCTGGACACATGTACTCTACTGTCTACTCGACAGCACCTCAGATCAGCTTACTCCTAATTGAACTCTTCATTCTCCTTCAGAACGCTGTCGTTACCCCCCAACCTCAAGCCAGGAACGTGGAGGTCGTTCTTGAATTATTCCTCTTTCCAGGCCCTCACATCAGTTTACTGACCCTTCAATCATCTTTGCCTAAGGCCCTCTTCAATCTACTTCTTTGCATCTCCATTGCCACTACGCTAGTGTGAAAATCTATTATCTATCTCTTTAGCTGCTTCCTAATTGACCTCACTGTATCTATTCTTGCGCTCTCCAAATAACTCCTCCTGCTACATTTTAAAAACACAAATTGTATGATATTCTTTAATGATATTATCTTGTCCTTAGAAGTCCAAATTCCTTTGCACCATTCAACCATTTCTTATATCTCATCCCTATCAGGACCATCCTATCCCTCATCCTATGCTTCTTCCTTCTTGAAATTCTCTGAAGTCTGAAATGTCTTGTTCCAAGCTCTGAATAAGTTATTCCCTCACACTGCAACACTCTTTCCCATCCCTCCACCACACCTCTCTTGTGACTTCTTAATTCACCCTTGAGGTCTTAAGCTAGTGCCATACTTGTATGGGAAAACGTTCTGTCACCCTTCAGACAAGAGTGGATGACCTCTTCACAAAACTTATCACATTTGAAAAATCTTTCAACGTGGTCTTTCCCAGTATATATAAACTCTTTTTCAAATGGGAAGGGGAACAAGAGATGGTGCGGGGGAGGAAGGGTAAAAAGGATTTGAAGAAAAACATTGGAATTGAACTTTTGCAAATGGAGAGAGGAAGAAAGGCTGAAGAGGGGACAGAATGGGATAAAAAAGGAATTCATATGTGTTATGTACATGTACAAATTCCCCATGATGAATGTAATCTTTGTGTACTCCAAACATGAACTAATTTCTAAAAAGGAAGAAAACAATAAACTGTATGAGCAGTCTGTGTCTCTTTCATTAACTTTAACTATATTTTGGTTTTTGCAACAATATTTCATTATGTACTCCAGGCCGGCCTCCAGTGTGGCACCCTCCTGCCTCAGCCTCTCAAGTGTTGAGATTATAGGCATGTGCCACCAGACTTAGCTTCTTTCATTAACTATTAAAGACACTAGATAAATGTGATTGGCTACCTGAAAAAATGAAAGAATAAATGGTATGCCCAAATAGAAGTATAGAGCTATTTTATATAGAATGGGCTTCTGATAATGGTTCTGGGATTTTTAAAAAACTCATAGTCTCAGCATTTGCTGTTTCACACATGGAGAATTAGAATGGGAACTCTGTTCTCAGGGCAGGTGTCAAAAGGCCCAAAAGATAAAACTAATCAATTGCTGAGCTTTGATCAAGGCACCCAAAACCTCAGGACAAAAGGCATGAAACATACCATGCTTTCTATTACCCTCGAGCAAATTGATTTCTGTCTTTCATAAAATGAGCAATGAAAAGGAGGAAAAAGAGGAGGAGACCATTTGTCACCTACCATGCCTTTCTGAAAAAATTAAGCCATTTAACCAATCTTTATTCCTCAAATCTCTAGTGAGTCAGACAACTGAGATGCTATGTTACAGCTATTCTCAAAACTGTTTATGAACAACTATGCCAGAAGCAATTACTATGTGATAAAAAATACATGCATCACTGAACAATATGGCACTAATTTCTGAGACAACATTTGAAGCAAGCCAGAAGAACAGCAACACAACTATTCCATCTAAGTCTGTGTGCAGAACCCACCATTTTTCCAAATCCAGCCAACACCCCTACCCAACATGCAATTGGCCTGGGAGCAAGAGAAGGAACACCGTAAGAGTGAAAAAGAAGAACAGCACTGGAGGAAAAGATAAGAAGGGAGCTTCAGAGTAACTGATATTCCGCTGAAGACTAAGGTAGTGCATAGGAGTAGGAATTGAGGTCTCCTTGAGATTCCCCTCATTTCTTCCTCTCTACCCTCACCTCCATATGCTGGGAACTAAAAAAGGCAGCATTTTGCAAGGTGGAAAATAAAAGAGGAAATCTAAAGGCTGAGGTTACCTCATATTCATCATAAAATCTTCATGGTTTCCTCTGTTCAAGTGTATGTCCTTTGGGTAGACAAGAAAACTCACAAACAAGATCATTAGGACCTCCATGGAATTTCTTCCTCGATCTACAAAATCACCATTAAAGAGATACGGGTTGTTCTCTGAAGGGAGACCATTCTGTGGGAGGAAAAGAGCAGGAAAAACAAGCAGTTAAAAGAATGTTCTTTCACAATAAGGCTTCGTACATGCTGTCCCTGTGGATATGTAGAAAAGAGGCTGAGTCAGTTCTTTCACTCAAAAAAATCTGCTCACTTGCTTGAGCCAGTCTCCCTCTTCCAGGGTAGGCAGGACTCACTTGGGAAAGCAAGATCCCAGGGAAGGTGGTGAGTTGCTCTTCTGTCCATCACCTACTATGAGTTTTCTCTAAAAGGAATTGATCTTTGTGCTATCAAAAACACCTACACTCATCTCTTCCTTTTCTCCTGAAGAGGGAAACTTCTATCGAAGAAGAATACTAAACTAAGAGGCAGAAATATTTTACTCCAAGGTGCCCAACATTTAACTTCTATGGGCTGCAATTCCCTCAATTCGCAAAATGAAGATGATACTATATCCTTGCAAATCTCCTGTGAGAATAGGCATGAAAATGTCCAGGCAAGGGGGCTGGGGATTTAGCTCAGCGGCAAAAGCACCTGCCTGGCAAGCACAAGGTCGTGAGTTCAGTTCCTGGTACCAGAGAAAAACCAAAAAAAAAAAAAAAAAAAAAAAAAGAAAATGTCCAGGCAAGTGGAACATAGATGCGATGTGACTGTGACCAAGGCGGATATTCCAGTGAGCACAGATGCAGCCACATCTGGTGTCCACAACTGGCACGTATTCTGGCTGTTTGATGGCTGGGCCATATTCATTGTTAGAAATTTTGAATATCACTCCTGAGCATAAGCTATTTTTAAAGGCAATTTAAGCATGAAAAGGAGCTGAGTAGATTACAAAGGACTGGATGTATAATAGCTATCTATCATTTAGTCCTACATACAAAATTCTAGAGACAAAAGAAATATATGTAATATAGCTACATTTTCTGTGTCATGATAAGGACATGGAATATTCTGGAATATATTCCTGATAAGGAAATGGCTGAGTGCATTTCTATTGCATAGTAAGATAAATTCTAATGTTTTAAAAATATATTATAGGAGCCGGGTGTGGTGGCACACACTTGTAATCTGAGCTCTCTGGAGGCTGAGACAGGAGGATCGTTGCAAGTTCAAGACCAGCCTGGGCTACAAAGTGAGCTCAAGGCTAGCCTGAACTTCATAGCGAAACCCTGTCTCAAAAAAAGACCAAAAATATACTGTATATATATTACAAAAAAAAATTACTCATGTCATATCATATGAAAATATATATCAACAATATATATATTTTCCTTCAAAAATCTATCTTTAGGAAATATTATGAATATTACTATTAATATCTATTCTACTTATATTAATATTTTTCAAACTATTTCAAAATTCTTTGTTAGATTTCAAACTACATAAGGTTTTATTACTTTTACTTAGCCTCCTGTTTATGTACATTTTAAATTATTCATAGCAATGTAATAAAGAGTTGAAAAATGTGATGCACATTATAACACATAATTTAAGGATCCCAGAAATTGTTTATGTAGTGTAATATGTTCTGAAGATAAGTGGAAAAAAACAAGCAGTGGCAGAATGTAATAAGAAGACTAATATTCTAGTCTAGTGCCAGTTATTACCCAGGTGTTGTTGGACGAGTTCTTTAATCTTTTCATCTATGAAATGGGGATGATAACTTTTATACTTACTATGCAGGTATAGTTTGCAACTCAAATGAGATTATGCTTATAAAATCACATAAAAACATAAGGCACCATATAAATTATGAGATTCATTTTATTATGACTTCCACACTATTTCTAATTTTAAGATTTCATCATTTTACACTTTCTTAATATATTAATTTGCATAGCCTCACTCATGTAAGCCTTAGATAGTGTAACCAATTACAAAAGTATGGCCTACTGCTTGCTCATTAAAACCTAAAATAGAAAGATTTTGCATCTCTGATATTTTTCCTTCCAGCAGCCTTCAGCTGGCTGGGATAAGCAGGTGGGGGATCGGGAAAAGCGAGAGGCTGCTAACTCTGTTGTCGGGATGTCCAGGTTCTGAAGGGGGTGAGAGGTACAGCACCAGAGAGCACTGGGGTGAAAACCTAAAAGGACTAAGACTGAGAAGACCCATGGGTGTCTTGACTAAGGGGGGATTCTGCCTCAGAGCATGTGAGTAATCCTGGTTGGAAGGAGGAGTGTAACACTGGATCTTACTAGGAAAGGTGCAGGGGAATTTCTCCCACATCAAAAAGCCGGAACATGAACACTTGCATTTAGGGACACCTAGGAACACAGAGGCTTTCTTTCACATTCTTGATGCAGGAGCACAAAGTGTTTTTCCTCCGACTGTGGAGAGGCTTAAGCTAGCTTAAGCAGAAAATAGAAGTGGAAATAAGCTAGTGCTTAAGAGACTCCAGCAACTAGAGAGAAGGAGACCAACAAGATGTGCTAAAAGCAGATGGCCTCTAATGAAGCAGGCTTGCTAGAGGAGGCAGAGGACAATTTTATTATAAAAAATAATAATAAGAGAAGCATAATATAAAGAACAAAAGGTTAAAAATTCTTGGCATTAAAATACACTGTTAAGTCTGGAAATGGTGGCATTCACCTATAATCCCAGCTACTCAGGAGGCTGAGGCAGGAGGATTGCAAGTTCAAGGCCAGCATGGACAACTTGGTGAGACACTGTCTCAAAATTTAAAAATAAAATGAGGGGGAGGCTGGGGATGTGCTCAGTGATAGAGCACTCGCCTAGCACAAATTTAATCCCCTGAGCACAGGTTTAAAACCCAGTACCACACACACACACATATACACATCATTCCAATTTAAAATATCAATGGATTAGTGTTAACTAAGAGAATGGTTGTGAAATACATTAATGACCTGAAAGAATAATCAAATGAAAGATTTCTTACATAGAACAAAAAGCAAAATGATGAAAATCATACAGAATGAGGCTAGAGTTCAAATAACAACAGAAACAAAATATTTTTAACCAAGGAAAGACCAAGAGGAAAGATGTGAACAATGCACTTTGCAATATATAAATAAATATAAATTGATATGGTCCCATGGAACTTGCATTTAAGTACTAATCAAGGATTCTAGAAATAGAAGAGGAAATTTTCTAAAAGTATAAATATACTTACTTATTCAGATTGAATAGATAGGAATTAATAATGGTCAAGACCTAAAAATTATGGCATAAACAATAGCCTGCATTTGCAGGAGAGAAGAGGAAAGAAAAGAAAAGAAGAGAAGAGAAAAAAATGCTCTACAAATTTTATCTGCATGAGGGACATGGAAAGTGTGAAAATAGTTATCTTACTGGGAGAGTGAGAGGTTGTGGTAGAAGAATAAACTTATAGCTATTTAATAAATACATAAACACATTATTTGTTAGAAATGTCAGGAATGGGGAGATAATTACTAGTGAAAGGAAAAGCACAGTAAAAATTGCAAATACAATAACAATTTAGAAAGAACAAGCTGGGCACATTGGCATGCACCATTAATCCTAGCTACTCAGCTGAAGCAGACAGGCTAGCAGTTTAAGGCCAGCCTAGGAAACATAGAAAGACCTTGTCCCAAAAAGGAGAAAAAGAAAAAAATAAAAGAAAGAGAAATGAAGGAAGGAAAAGAAGAAAAAACTTCACCCAAACAACAAAAAGAAAAGGAAAAACGATAAACCAAAGTAAATAGTAAGGCAGAATACAAGAAAAATTTTAAACACACCTGTTGTATACTAAATGTAAGTGAATTAAATTCTCCCAGTAGATCACCAAGATCACCCAAATGTGTTAAAATGCAAAAATTAGGTATATACAAGAAAAAGTAATTAAGTAAAATTTTTAAAGTAATTTATCTTGAAAACAACATAAATGCAACAGAGAGAAAGCAAGAATGGAAATCTTAATACTAGAGAAAGTAGAATTTGAAATTAAAGCATTAAATGGCATCACAAAGCAACACTAAATCATAGTGAAAGGCACTTTATGAAGAAGTTACAGTTCACGTTCTTGTCAATATACAAAAGAACAAGTTTGTGCTTCAGATATTTATTATAAATGCAAGCAGAAATGTTTAAAATACAAACATAGTGAGTTATTCAAATTGAATTATTGGTTTAAAATAATATCCATAAATTCTTTGACATTAACTTTAAACTGTGAAGCCTAATTTGCCTCTTCCTGAGGGCAGGCTGTACTTAGTGACTTGCTTCTAATTAATAGCACAAAAAGACAACAGAAGTGATGATGTGCACGTTCAGAAAATAAGTCATAAAAGATACCACAGCTTCCTGACTGCTCCCTCTCTTGGATTACTCACTATGAGGAAGGACAGATGCTATGTCATGAGACTACGCAGTTAGCATTGTAGAGAGGCCCAAGAGCTCAGTGAGGAGCTGATGTGCTATGCTTCAAGCCATGTGAATTAGCCATCTTAGAAATATGTCCGCTGGCTTCAGTCAACCTTACAGATGAGCACAGTCCAACCAATTGATTGACTACCACTCCATGACCCTGAGTTAGAGCTACACAGCTAAGCTGCACCGAAATTTCTGGCCCACAGAAAGTAAGATAGTAGATATTGTTGTTTTTAGGTACCAAGTATTAAGGTGGCTCATTATACAACAATATATAATACACATATTTAGAGAGACATAGTACAAAAATATGGAAAATTGAATATGCCATCAATAAACAACTTAACAGATATATGAAGGACTTTACAAATAGAGAATATAATTAATTTTTCATTTATCCATGGAACAAAAATATCAACCTTATACTTGACTCTAAATAAATCTTTAACAAATAATAAAGTATGATTAGAAAAATTATGACTGCTTCAATTAAGATTCTTGGAAATTAACAACTGTAGTCCTGATAAACATTGACTCAAAAAGAAAATTAAGAGCAAAATTGCAAGTTCTGTAGAAAGCTCAGTTAAAATTAAAATCAGAAAACATATTCAGCTATAAATGCTTTAATAAGGAAGATAAACATGAAAGATTGATTCATTCTAAGAAATT